TATTTTACATTTCCATTAAAACCCGTAGCGGTAAATAAACCATCAGAACTCACGCAGATATTCACTGGAACATCTACAGCAGTCCATTAAAATGTCAAGATCTATGTTAACCATTTGAAGAAGTAGCACCAGATACAACACATTTAAAACTTTAAAAAATACATTAAATGATAAAGATATGTGAGAGCATTCTCCAAAGCTCAGCAGAGCACTCGGATCAACACGTTTCCACTCCTCAGCAGCACAGTTCAGCACAACAGCCGCCCTTTTCTTGTGAAAGCAGGAGCTGCAGGAAACCCTGCAAGTTCTGCGGACGCTCCCGAACACGGCAAGCCCTGCAGTTTGGTGTCCCACAAGCTGTTTGCAGTGCCAGGCGGTTACAGCAGAGCTGCAGCTCAGTTTGCACCTCGCGCTGCTTCCCCCCGGCCAAGCAAGAGGGCTCCCACTTACAGAGGCTCCTCCCAAACACCGCGGTTTACCTGCGGCTTCACTGCAAGGGCCTGGCTTTCCGCTACGGGAACGGTGCCAATCAGCAGGATCTACTGAAGAGGAGAGAATTTACGAAACTCTCCACAAGGCAGCGGCCGTTCCTCTGACTGACGCTGAAGTAACTGCGCCGTGATTGCAGCAGTACCATCGCACTTCCAATTTAAGACACACTAAGTTCACATTAAATCCAGGTCTGAGGAGGTCGCACAGACTCCTCTAGATGGTTAGTTTGAATGTGGAATACGGCGGGTCCAATTAAAATGGCATTTAAAAGCCGGTTATCACATCAGGCCTATGGAATTGAAGAGGAACAACCTGGGACACCTTGGTATTCCAAAGCCCTTGCGTCAGTGCCCGAGAGCACATTTCCAATCTGCCCCAACGCATTCCAACCTCTGCCCCACACAGAAAGAGGAACTCGAACAGGTTGTTCAAGGAGATAACTAATTACAAAAACAAGCACTTATTTTTGCTCCCGTACCCCAAAGAAGTAGCATTTTACTCTCTGAAGCAGTAATGAAGTGAAGCACACAGAACACATCATCCCAAACGTAACAAAATGGGTATTGACGGAGCACTTACCAGGCAATGCTTCAAGACGGGCTTGACAACATCCCTGAGTACAACATCATGGCTATCACGGCTCAGGCAGCAAGGAGGAATTACCAGCAATGAGCCAGAAAGGATGTTATAATTTATTCTGTTTGCTGACTCCATCCCAAAGCACCAGGATCTATTAATCATATTGATTCCAGATGCTACCCCTGAGCTGGTACGGAGCTGCACAAATGACAGAAGCAAGTTGGCCGCATTCTTCATCGTTTTACTTTGAAAGTAATTGAGTTTGTCACCGGGAGATAGCAACTCCAGCACTTAGGATGTCCTTAAAATTACTAGAAAGTATCCTTTGTCAGAGCACCGGGAAACACCAAGATGCGATTAGAATGACCAGCCTACCAGGATACAGTCTTACCAAAGTTGCTTTACAGAGTGAAGACAATAGGTATGAACAGCACTATATCATGTTAATGGCAGAACTATAATGCATCAGACAAAACAAGAAATTATTTCAACCGGTAAGGGGGAAGGATAAGAGATTATTAAACAATGGAGACAAAACAGAATGCTAATACTCGAAATACCCATGGCGAGCAGGATAATCAAACGCAGCAGAAGGGAGGAAAGCAGCAGCCAGGCCTGGTGCAGAGGTGCGGGTGGTCGGCCACGGCGCGGGGCTCTGGCAGAGCCCACACTCATCTCTGCGTCCCCAGAGCGCAGAGCTCAGCCCCGCGGCCCACCCTGCACCCTGATCCTGCAGGCAGAGCTCCGCTCGTGTCCCTGGGGACAGCGCGGCCGCAAGGGGACAACGGGAGGCCGCGGTCCCCACCCGGCGGCCTCGCGGAGGCCACCCGCAGACACAGCTTCATTCCCGGGCTGCAGCACAACCGCCTCTGCGCACAGGCTGCACGCTAAATGAGGCCCCTATTGCACACAATTAATAAACATCTCTACGGGGAAAATCTGCTGGGGGGTTGGAAAGCCAGAACTGTCTCCTTCCCAGGCCAACTCTGCATCGGCAGGGAAAGAAATGGCTCTGGTTCCAGCAAGCCTTTGCCAGCAGAGCCTCAGTTATATTTAAATCAACATTTGCCGCAGCAGGGGATTATCAGATGCTCAGCTTAAATGCTGGATTTTCTTTTTTGTTGCAATGTTTAGCTCATAAAAACTGAATTTATTTGGGTTGGTGCTGATGCCTCTAAGCACAGCTGCTCACCAACTCTGTTCTGCTTCCTGCGCCAAGGCACAAGAATTCCCAACCTCTTCGGAATCTGCCAAGTCTCACGACTGGGGTTTTCTTCCTCCTGCTGCAGTGGCAACGCACCCGCAACGCCCAGTCCCACAGCAACCTCCTGCACGGAGACGCACAGCGTTTCCTCATATTCCTCCTGTCACAGAGACAAACTACACGAGGGCCGTCTAAATGATACGAAAGAGTAAAAGAAAAGGTAATAGAGTTTGTTGTACAACAGCTACCAGGGGTCACGCACATGGCTGTTGCCACCTGCGGATTTACGAGCACTATCATCAGACACGTTTAACAGCATTCCCTGTGCCATAGATGGGCTTTGGTTCCACGAAGGTGTAATCAAATCCTTGGCAAGGGCTCGCAGACTGAGATGCTGCTGAAGTAACAGAGTGTCCGTTACTTGAGAGCTGGCTGACAGCAGCAGCTGCAGGGGCTGCTAAACGATCCCGCGGGCAGAGCGCGTCTGAGGGCAGCGCCAGCATCAGCGCTGCCTCAGCAGGACTCGGCGCTTCTCCTTCTTGCTGTACAACATTCAAGCTCAATTACAACAGTGCAGCTCTTTATTTGCAGTCCTCCTTCATTGTTTGCTTTTACCAATGTATTATTCAGCTTAAAAACTATTTACTGAAACTGGGTGAGCACACAGACCATTGACAATGTCACATTAGCCTCCGTTATTTGTAAATTAATTTATACAATCAGAGCTTTACCCCATGTAAAGTTTGGATACATTTAGACCAACAATACAAACCTTTAATCCATATTCTCCTAACTTCTTTTAATATATATGTTGTGTGTGGAAATTAATATATAAAGGAAACTTAATACAGATATTTTCAGCACCACTGAAATCAGTATTATGGGATACTGAAGCCTTACTCAGCCAAAACAGGCTATAGAGAAAGGTGTAGAGGAGTTCTGAGAATTAGCAAGGGTTAAAATCCCTCGTGAGAATATTTGAAAAGGGGCTAGAAATGCGGAAAGAAATATTGGGAAATAAAGGCATTCACTCCTGGTATTTCAAAGAAACCTTGCTTTCCACTTCTTCAAAGACTAATCACCTCAGAGTTTTAGAATTAAGTGCTGATTTAGGTCACTTACATGAAGAACATTTATTTTTAATGCTTCTATCCTTGGATTTAACAAACCTTGGGCACCTTCAAGGTGCAGAAAAACAATTCCAGAGACAAAGATTTATATTGTTGTTAATGGGGGCAGGCGCACATAAATAATGGAGCTGAACTTAAATTTCATTCCTGTTGCAGAGTGTCTGCCTCTTATTGAACTGTACTGCATTATGAGAGCTTTGACTCTCTCAGTCAGTCACAGCCATTGTCAGAATAAATCACTAGATTAGCTTGTGGCTTCGGCAAGCACAGGAAATGGGAGCTCTTTGGGAAAATAATGCTCCTGAACTTGATGGAATAGAGTGATCACAATCTTTTCCAAGGCATCTAGACAGATATTGGCAAGATGACAAGAAAGGCAAGTGAGTCTCCTCTCTAGCCTGCTTTCTGCTTGCATTTCTAGGGCCATGCAGAGGATGGATAAAACCAAACCAAACCCAATGATGCTACACTGAACATTTACAAAACAGAAGAAAAGCTTCCTTAGCTACTTCAAGCCTTTTGTTTTCATCTAGGCTTCATCCAAACTCTAACAAAATCAGTCCTTGGAGACTCGCAGCCATCTGGGGTTTGAAGCCTTCTCTTCTCGGGACCCACACAACTGCTGCTGATACAGGACAAGCCCCCTGACTGTCCCAGTTATCTCCCACCCAATTGTTGAACGGGGCTGGTCTTGCTTTACTTGAAAAATCCCAAGAGCTTCGAGCCCATCTAGAGCTGCCACAGAGCAGAGCCATGATCCTGCCCCCCGTCTCTAAAGACCCGAGTTATTCTGAGCTGACTTGGCCTGGCAAGCCCAGGAGCAGCCCTGCATGTGCTTTATGCGAGACTGCCTTGTCCAAAGCTGTGTGACCTGTTAAGATTTACAGGCTTTATTAGCAGCAATAACATTTTATAATCAACATCAGTAAATCAGGGTTATTGAGAACTCTACAACTCTAATCTGTAGAAAACAATTAAAATGTCAGCTTTCCATTGAATCTAATTCCTAGCTTTCATAAAAGAAAGATATTCGGTTTAATTGTTGTGTGCAAAGCAGTGCAGTTCGGAACGATAAATTTCTCTGAAAACACATTGGTTTTCTGCTAAACAACGAGTACCAAGCAACGCAATCATCATCTTTAATTAGGACCATGCTCATAAATAATAGGATAAGGAAAAAAGAACATACATAATATAGAGAGCATAACATGAATTCTGGTTCTGTGCATTGGTTCTACATATCTCTGAACTGTAAAATTGCCAACTCTCCCAACTTTGACTCAAGTCTCACAATACCTGATGTTTTCTTCAAGTTTCAACCTCAGGGACCAAGCAATAACTTGGTTAGAACTTGGCTCCTGCCATTCTGAAGCCTCTCCATTAGTTCTTGTTTAGATTTAGCTAACATATTTTAAATGTATTTAAGGTAAATGGAAAAAAAGCAAAATTATTTGCAGTAGTTTTCTCTCTCCAGCAACCACCCGAAGTTTTTCATGCTCACTTCTCAGTAAAAACAAGTTATTTATGTCAAGATAAAGGAAAGAACACTGTTGTCATTCTGTGAGTGTAAGAGCTGCCCAGGGAACAACCCTCACCTCGGCGGCAGGAACCCCCTCCGGCGGGCGGCAGTGCAGGACGATCATCCCTTCGATGGGAACCTCCTTCCCCTGCGGGTCTTGCTCAAAGTTTTTCCGTAGATCTGGGGAGAGTTCAGTGCAGTCATTCACTTCCCCTCCCTCCAGTGCGGCTTGTCTGGACAAACACAGAGCTCTAGTGCTGCCAGACAGGTATTTTAGAAGCCAGTGCCCCTTACCCAGTACTAGGCAGACCGCAGAAGTCACATCCTGCCCTGTTCTGCTCTTTGCACGTATGTAAGCATGGGACACCTGGAAGTTACTCCACCTTCCACAGAGGAAGGAAGCAGGGGAGGTCCCATCGTCTGTAGCTCTGTTTTTGTACCTCAACCCTTAAGAAATCATTTGTGGCTACACAGACACCAATATTACAGCCCAACAGCATCGTGTCTGCAGCCTTTGCTTTCAGAATGAGAGAACCGAATGCAAAGGAAGCCCCCGGCCCTGCCAGGGCCAGTACCACAGCGAGGGGTGTGGAGGTCCCAACGTGCAGCTCCACCTGGTTCTGCTCCTGCTGCTTTTTACTCAGATCGCCGTGTTACGGGGTTGGGAGATCACGGAGCAGAGCTAAGTCAATAAAAAATTCAATTTGGAGTAATAGTCCTTTGCAGCTCGGCAACATGGGGGAATTATCAGCTCATTCAATGCTATGACAATTAATGCAGTGAAATAAAAATCAGAATCTACACATATTTACACATTCAAATTAAATCAGCCAACAAAAAAAAAGAATGTAACTGTCATAGTGTGGTTACATGGTCTTAATTACTTCACCCAAGTGTCTTAGTCTCAGTTACCCTGCTAAAAGGACATAACTGCAGAAAAAAAAAGATTTATCAATAACTGCTCGAACAGTATCCGAACTGCCATGCGGAGTTCCTTTCTTGACCACCCTGTCTCACACAAAAAAGTTGCCTTCACATCTCTTCAGGCCTTTAAGGAGCTGAACTCGTGATTTAAAGGCAAAGGGTTCATGAGAGTTTGGGGAAAAGAAATTTCCCAACTTCGCTATTAGCATATATATATAAATAAAAATAACCTCCAAAGCAGGGTGGCTTCCCACCCTGGGCACCTCCGCGAGCAGCAGAACGTTGCTCTACTCACAGGCTATGCGCACAGCTGCCTTCCTGCTCTTGGAGGTCCCCAGGTGGCTCCACGCAACGCACTGACACCAATAGTCCTCCGGCCCGTGGAAATCCTCCACCTGCTGCCTCGTCACGTTGATGAAAACCTCTCGGACTTTCAAGCCTGAAGGGGAAAGATACAGCAAATGAGCTGATACAGGATGTCTTATTTGGGGATAGAGCAATGGCTAGCCACATCTTTTAATTAGCAATTCAATTTTTAATATAGGCAAAGCTTTAATTAGTTGGATAATAATATACGTGCCCAGGAGGTTACGTAAAGAAAAGCAGTGTAAAGAAATGCACAGGGCTATATAATCCAAAGGGTTAAAAGGCATTTGGAAGGCAGAGTCATTAAAACATTCATTTGAAAATGGAAAACATTCATGTCAAGACTTCCTTGCTTCTCTCCTGTGCAGTCCCAAGATACTTCTTTCCCCTCCACTGGAAATGGATGAAAACTCAATCTGAAAATATTCCATGCCTGTGAAGTTTATAAAGCAGCAAATTTCTTAAGGTGAACTCCATAAATTGGCTTTCACTTAATCTCAGGCATCATTAACAGCTCGGGAGTTCACTTCTGAAAGGGACTAGGAATCCAACCTGTTCTTCTGGCAAACCCGAGAGCTGGGGCCTGCTGGGGATGAGCCTGAAGTACAAAATTTGTGCTACTTTTCCAGCACTAAGTGAAGGGCATTTTTATTTCATTTCCTCTTTTTGCTTTGCCACATTTCACAGCGCGACCTGAAGATAAGGCCAAGCCTGGGATAGTTACCCAATGTGCCTCAATAATCCTTTTAGTCACTCAAATATTGATTCAGTCTGTAATAAACACAGAGCTCCTGGTTATTTCTGCGTTACCTTGTTTATTAAACATGTCAGTGCGTTTCCAAACAAAGCTGTTTATGAAAAGCTCCCTTTATTTTCTGCCCCAGGGAAAAGCAGGTCACTGTGGACTAACCAGAGCAGGTGGAAAAGAGCAGTTCCATGGGAAGGGCTCTCCCCAGTGCCACCCCGACTGCCAAGTGCACGAGGAAAGCGCTCCTCGGAGGCAGGGGCAGCGCCGGGCGAGCCCGCCCGGGGCCTGGACACAGCAGCTCTTCACTGGGAAGAGTTGAAGCATCCACAAACTGATGAATCTCTGCACACAAAAAGGGCATTTTTCTTTCGTTTCTTTCAGAAGCTACTAGAGAGCAAACCTACTGGGGACAGAGGCCTACGTTCTTTGTTGATCATCACTATAGTTCACTAACAAGATGTATTCACCTCCCTTCTGTATTTCAAGAAATACCAGAAATATTATGTGGAGAAAATAACAGAGAATGAAAAAGCCATGCAAATACAAACAGGCATGTCACAAACAAGAGCAACATGGTACCTGTAACTTCTGTACCTCTAATAAGCACTGCAAATCCAACCCTTTAAATTATTGTGCAAATTGTAACTATCATCTTTTGTTATACACTACAGCCTTACAGAATATAAAATTATGACTATGGTACTGAAATGCTAATAAGCTTTCTGCACTGCTGGATGGTTTAGTTGCAGATCGACTAATGCTGGCAGCAGATGAATAATTGCTTTCTATGTACTAAACATAACCAAGCTGCACAGAACTTCAGCATTTGTCAGCTTTATCCGTTCAAACGAGGAAAACGCTGACAGCACTTATTGCTGTGATTCTTTTATTTATCAGGCAGGAAAATTCTACTTCCTCTGAGTAGGTCTTTATCCTGTGGGAAAAAAGTTGAAACGTTTTTAAATTAATTTGGGGTACAGGCTGCAATGTTCAGGCAAAAAAAAAAAAGCCTTTTTAAAAAAATTTCTGCATTCAGCCTTAGGTTTTCTCTTGTTTTGGAGCTCTGTTGTTATTTTTAACGATTTAGCTATACATTCCCTCAGAATTTCTACGTCTTAGCACCCTCCTTCATGCAGCAGGGCTCCCCTCCGGGCAGTTCCCCATCCCTGCCCTCCATGGCAGCGCCCGCAGCTTTGTGCAGACGGAGGCTGCACAGGATCCCCAACACGGCCTGCCTGGCCGCAGCCACGGCTATGCCCCCGCGTTGGCTCCACAGAAACCAGGACACTGACATTATGCACATTAAAAGAAAATAAACAAACCAGAAAACAAGTCTGCTGCCCACTGAAGACTGGGGGCAAATTCCGAAGTAATCTTGGCAGCGCCCGCAGCTTTGTGCAGACGGAGGCTGCACAGGATCCCCAACACGGCCTGCCTGGCCGCAGCCACGGCTATGCCCCCGCGTTGGCTCCACAGAAACCAGGACACTGACATTATGCACATTAAAAGAAAATAAACAAACCAGAAAACAAGTCTGCTGCCCACTGAAGACTGGGGGCAAATTCCGAAGTAATCTATGGGTAAATCACGGGACAGAGTGTGTTCATGCGTTTTCCCATGTCCTGACTTGCACTGCTCTGTCCTCAGGTCCGTCACAGCCGTCCCGACCGCCCCAGGGAGCAGCAGCTTGGGGCTGGCTCTGGCCATGGGCTCAGCCCAACCTGCAATCTTTAGATTCCATATCCTGTGGTCTACGCTGCAAGCCTCAATGGGGCTATTTAAAAAAAGTAAAACAGATCCTAATGTCTAATGTTGCTTTATCTTTCTTTATTCTGTTATTAATCCAAGGCTTAGAAGATGTAATTGCAGTGTTCACAAGACAGATTTTCATTAACCATATGGAAGAAAAACATTCAGGGACGACATTTCTTACATATTGATTCAGCAATGCCTTTGGAAGTAAAGGTTATGCTTATTAAATTCTTTTCAAAAAGGTAAGAGTAAAAATTAAAATTCATCCAGATTAGCATTTAACAAAAAGCCTTTAGTATGAAATTTCTTCAGAATGTGTCACTTACAAAGGAACGCCAAATATCACTGCAGCTTTAGGAGATGTCACTTCTTTTTAAGTGGCATTTTCCCCCTAAAAAGGCATTTCTTGTATTGATAGAGAGGATGTTATGCCTACACTGCTATTTCCAAGACATGGAGTTGCCTAGCAATCTTGGAATTTAAAAGGAGGAACAAAGCAATAAGAAAACAAAATTGTGAAATTACAAGCTGGCGCAGCATTGAATTGGTTTGCAATACTTGTGAAGGTGCCCCTAAACGAGAAGGGACACGGGCCGTGCTGGCAGTGTGACAAAACGTGCTGCCCATTGCCCGTTCTCTCCCTGCAGACGGACACGGGGCTTCCTCCCCCTTAGGCACCCACCACCCCTCGGCCCCTGTTTCCCCAAAGCAGAGCTCTGCCTCGTGCAGCCCCGGTAACACAGGACCGAACGGGCCAACCCAGAACCGTTCTTTTCTCTGGAGAGCTCTGTGGTTAATGGGCAACCAGGCCCCGATCTCCCCTTCGAAAAGCTGGCGGGGCCTATTGGCTCGTGACCCCCTCTGCATCAGTGAGGCCCATTTTCTCCTCGCACCTTTTCATTTGTACTACGCCTCTCCCCCCAGGATGTGCATCTCCTTCTCGGCCCTGCTGTGTTTTAGCTCCTGCTCACAGCCATCGCATTCAGACCCGTCTCTGCAGGGACACGAGCCCTACCTGTGGCCTCATCCATGCTTTCCTCGGACACGTGCTCGTTCTGGTGGACCCATTCACCATTGCACTTGAAGAAAATCTGCATAGCTGGCATGGCTTTGCAACGTAACACAATGGGGTTGCTTTTTATAATGTAGGCATCATCTGGTTCCTCCATAAAATGAGGCAGTGTTCCAGGAGCAGATGGGATAGACTCGGGAAGAGCTTCACTGTTATCATTTCCTGAAAAGGAAGGAAAGGAAAACATACATTTTTCATGTTGTTCCACCCCTATGCATCGTCTCATGTACTTGACTAAATGCCATTTGAGATTTTATTATGAGCTAACACCACCTGAAGAAAACAAGTTGTGTGGATTTGGTTTTGCAGGGCACTGGAGAGAAGCACATGCACACACACAGACACACGCACTAATTTAAATGTAAACGCTACTGGGAAAATGGAAGCATCCACAAATGCACCGTTACTCTACCCTATTCCACAGATGGGGAACTGAGGCACAGAGAGATTAAATGAGGCACGTAAGGTCAGAGAGAAAGTCTGCGGGCGAAGCAGAAATTAAATCTTATTCCCGTGAGGGACAGTCCAGTGCCTTAACCACCACACCGGGTTTAATTTCCTTTGGACAGTTGCTGTAGATTTAGCAGAGATGGGAGCATTAACCACAGAGAAATACACGGGATGAGCAGCATTACTGTAGCACTCCAGCAGTGCAATAGGCAAACTGTGATTTCATACCCACTTCCAGGAAATTTTCTATGTGCCTTTACACTGATTTCATTTACTGCAGCCCCGTTAAGGTGATATCAAAGTGGAAAAGTCTCATTTCCTCAATTCCCGCACTCCACCATGAATCCAGAGGAACGGAAATACAAGCCCCTCATTACAACTCTTTCCACGGAGTCAAATCCCCCTCCTAAAGTCGCTGTTCAGGGCCTGACGCAGGGGCTGGCGCCGAGTGAGCTCCCGCACACAGGACGGGCCGCGCTGGGACAGTCCTCGAGCCTCTGAAACCCCCATCGCAGAAAACTCACTAGCCATTTCCACTCCCTGCTTTTCTGTAATGGAGATGTTACTCTTCTCCATATGGCTACCTCATTAGACAGGGACTGCAATCACACCCATTTAATGTGTTGCAGTAACTGCAGCTTTTACATCTTAAATATTTAGTGTGATTTATGATACACAACTCTTTCTCTACTGGTCCTTTTATCATACTTAAACAGAAGAATCAAACAGCAGTTATTTCAGATGCATTAACATTCAGATACAAAAAATGCCTTTTGCAACTTGGTGTCTCATTCTAACTCTACAATAGCTGATGACCAAAGCAAAACCTCTTCTAAAGTGTACTTAATGCATTTGTTTTTTAATTTGATGTGTCATTTTGTTGTGCATCATCGTCTTCAAGCCTTGTTTTCAAATCAGGTGAAGCCTACTGGAACTTTGGAGGGGTTTTGATTTCAAATTATTATGGCTTTTTGTTTGTAACTGTCAGTTTTCAAGATTCAGGCCATTCCGAGATAGAGAAAAAAGGCTGTTTTAATGCAGCAGTGAATGACAGAAGACCAAACAATCAAACACAATTCTTGTATTTTTCATTCCTGGAAAATTACCTTCAAGAAGGGCTTTGTGTTTTATGTTCAGCACTCTAGTACGGTAGAGAATTTACATCTTTTTATGATAATAATAGAAACAAAAAAGTAATGGGAGGGAAAAAACCAGGAGCAAACCCTGGACTCTTTCGTGGAGTAAATACACTGCTGCTGGTTGCGAGCTCGCGCTGTCGGCTCTTGACAGCAGCAGATACTCGTGGCTTCAGCAGTTCATCTCTTCATCAGGCTCCTGGCAGGCTCCTGCATTCCAAGCTGAAGGCAATGACCAGACTTGACCTTCTCTGTGCCCACTTCCCACCACCTTCTTCATGTATCTAATCCTAGTAATTCCTACTGATGTTTGAACCACCTACAGGCCATTATTTGATAAAAACTGATGTCAACCATCTTCTTGATGCAAATTCATTTTTTACTGGGAAGTCATATGATGAAAAAGATCATGTTACAGAATACACAAATTCCTTCTGTGCTGCTCTGAAGAAAACGCTTAATGAACCAAAACCAGAAATGATTTAGGCAGTTATTATATACTCGAGATGCACACCAACTAATGAAGTATTTTGGACTGTATTTGTATCAATTACTGTGACTCCAGAGCAGAGAGAACCTGGGAACTGCTAAACAGATAAACTTGCTTTTGAATAACAAATATCTTTTGAAGTAGGAAACATCAAAGAAATGCATATTTGCAATGGTTCTGTTTCCAAGTAGTCTAAATGCATTTTGCAAAGTTGTGAGACATAAACAAGTTACCCTAAATCAAAGAGGACTCGAGGCTGGTGAAATTACATTATACCCAAACTGCGCTACTCCATCTCCAAAATGGACTGAACCTCCTAGCAAGAAGCCCTGCTCAGGCGCTAGGTACCCATCGAACAGGCACGCGAGGAACAAACTCTCCTGCTACCAGTGTCTGTACACCCAGGAGCGAGGAAGCGTTACCAGTTTCAGGGCAGTCTACACAGAAAAGAGTACTTGAACTGACTGATTATGCAACCAAAGAGTGCATCTTCTACTGAATATCATCTAACCTGCGAGGAGGGAGAATTTCTCCTGCTTTTAAGTGGTACATCCGAGGTAGTCCCCATCTGTGTTTTGAAGATGCTCTATTAAAACAGACACCTCACAGGATGCCACCTCGCGGGGAAGCCAAAATAAACCCTGAGTCTCCTCTGGCTGTGCCAATAAACTGTTACACTAACAGGAGCTGAGACGAACTCGTGTTTGCACAAGTGGAAAGGCAGAAGTTTCAGTAATTAACTCAGGCACTTGACCAAGGGTAGGTGGTCTTTGAACAAGAGGGAGCATGGTGGGAAATCAAGGATTGCTTTAAAAAACGCTCTCCAACCCAAATCACTTCCCTATTTCACATCTTTGCAGCCGATGTCTTCTGAACTTTCAGCACATGTTGCAAGTCATAAGTGCAGCGTAAACATCTCAGCAAGGCACCATTTGATATCAGTGTATTAGTTTCATCAGACCCTCTTGCTTCCTATGGATATAAAGCACAAACTTTCAGCAGCTGCATCATAATCCTTCTCATCAAATATTTGGGCGACAGGTGGAAAATTGTTCTGCCAGCTGAGGAAGACAAAATCCATTCCTCCTGGCAATTTTCTGCAATGAAAACTCCAAAAAGTGAATGTGCAATAAGTTGTGGAAATAAATCTAAAATATTATCACAGAAAAGCAGCATGCTCCAAATCTTTAGCTGTAAAATCCCTCTTATCTGAATTTAAAAAAGGTATCTGTTTCTGAATGTGTATAGGACCAGATATTAAATATTAGGCTAGATGTCTCTACTGGAAACTATTAGCTACCGACCTGTAGGGTTTTCCTTTTCATGTTTTCTTTACCTTGAATGCACCATGATCACAGCATTTAAAGCATCTTCCATGCTTTATCAAGCATCTATTAAGCAAGTCTGACGGCAAGTCTGGACAGTAAGTATTATTAAGTTCATTTTACAGAAGGCTAAATAGTGAGTGTGAAGCTGAACAGTGTGACCAAAAGCAAGTTGTGGGACCAGGAACGTGATGGGATGGGTGGCCATTCCCTGCACTTGGGAAACCACGCTCCGTGGCGCACACGGTTCTTAGTTATTCAGGAGAGTTGGATGACACAGAACCCAGCTTATGAGCATGACAGGAGAGTGAAATTCAGGATATAATCATGAAAATGAGCTGTCTTAATAGGATTAAAAATCAAGTCAACTGTGAAGTATAATATAGCTTTTTTAAAATGCCTGTTTATCCAATTTCAAAACCCCTTCCTACGTAACCTCCTTTCCTCCCACTAGGTTTGAACATGCCCAATGCAGAGAGGAGCACGGCAGGGAAACGGGCTCCTCCCCAGGAGCCACCCGCAGGCTCAGCGCCCTGCCACGACCGTGAGCCCCGGCGGGAAGCGGCTTCCTCAGCTCCCTGCTCCCTGGCTGAGCCACGGGACCTCTCCGTGCGCACCCCAGTGAGCTTGCTGGACCCGCCTGCTCTTCTCCCTGACGAGCAGCTCGCGCGCGCAGCCCTGGCCACGCTCCAGGAGGTCAGCAAGGTTTCCCTACCCCATTCCCATCTGAGCTTTGCATTTCAATACGTGCTTTCATTTTTCACCAAGCAGCAATAACACCATCCAAATGTCTTCACACACAGAGTGCATCTGAGAAAGGCACGGGATGTCCAGATCTCAACAAAACTGATGGGACAGAAGGCATTAAGAATATAAGTATTACTGCCTGTATGAGCAACATATCTTCCATTAAAATGAGTTTTTAAGGCTAATGTGGGTGAGTGTTTTCTCAATTTTCCTTTATTGCAGCTTTCGTTCCATTAATACATTATGAGATTTAGTTAGGAGCTGCATGGTTTCCTGATCACTTTCCATGCACATGACAGAAACCACAAGTTAGTTTACATATATATATAGTATACAAATACATCTATTATATCAAAATCCATCCATGTTTAAACTCACGTGGCCAAGTATTTCTGCACTGCTTTCCAGATGCTGAGCGGACAGCAGCTGCACCCTACCCCATCACTGCCCCATCCTGGCACGGATGCAGAAGGAAAGCGGGAATATACATCTTTCAAGAAGGAAAGGATTCACTAGCGTTTTATACAGACAAATCTGCAAAGAAAAAAAAAAAAGGCTTCCAAGAAGGCAATGTGTGAAGAGATCAAACTAAGAGAAAAAAAAAAAAAATCTCCAAAAATGCAGTAAGAAAGTATGTGCTAACGCTGGACTTGTACCTTCAGCCAGCATCGTGCAGGGCTGCACGCTCCGCTATGGACCCATGGTTGTATTTCCACTCGCGCCCTGAACAGGCCCCAGCGCGCAGCCACACCGGTCACTCCGTGCGGCCGCTCAAGGCTGTGCTACATCTGCTCTGGACTAGCCACCTCCTTCAAGATACCACAAAAGATTCCATTACTCATCTGAAAGTAAAGGAGCAAAAAATTGCAGAACAGAAAGACCTCAAGATAAATAAAATCCTGAGGGAGAGGGACATTTTTTTTTCAAATTTGATTCACGTGTTTAACTTGACAGGCAGGCGTATTTGTATGAAAGCAGATTGGCAAGCACACCCTGTTAAGGATGCAAAATAATGCTAACTTGTTTCCAATTTGATATAGTCCTCTGGAAAAAAAAAAAGAGAATCAACTTAGAATATCAGATGCCTTTTTATTCTTGTTGCCATTTTCTGGCTCACACTAGGCAGAGAAAAAATGAAAACCAATTAGAAACGGAGATGTTTGACTCAGGGAGGTTCCCCTTTGGTTCAGCACATGAACGAGACTCCATCTAACGAGAACTGAGAGAGGGCAGCAGTAGCGTTGATGCTGTTCACAGCTAAAAACATCAGTTTAAAAATACACATATTGAATATTACAGAAAGAATAAGGCATCCCACATAACCAGACAAACAAACAAAAGATTAACTTAGTGATGCTACAGGGAGTGCTGCATGTGGGATAGGTAACCGCTTGGACTTCCTTCAGGGATAACAAATAATTCGCCTGCTTTAATAGAATGATGCTAGAATTAAGCTCACATGCTTATTAAAGGAAAAACATTGATGATGTAGGCAGCTGGTTTTGAAATATCACCAGGTTAGTTTATTAGGACCCAGTAAATCTAGAAAAGAAATGAAGGTCTCTTTATATGTTCGAATTCCAATTTAATCAGATTTACAGTATCAGTTTAAATCTACTGCCCTCCTTTGCCTGGCCCTAAGAAGACTGCAATCCTTTTGGAAATCAGGAGAACGGGATTCTTCAGGCGCCGGCAGCACTTGCAAGGGCCTCCAGCTCCTGCTGCTCTCGCTCCGCTGGCAGGACTGTAATTACCACCTGCAGCAGCTGCACTGTGATCTATCAAAGAGATTAACTTACACGGGAAAAACCAACCTGCAGTAAACTAAGAACTCCCATTTGTCCGCAAATGATGAGTATAAACTAGGACTTCTCCCAAGTACAGTTACTGCCTTATCATAGCTGCTTATCAAACCTTGGGCTAAAATGCAGTACCTGATGCTGTACGTATTTCAAGCAACAGGGCAATAATAAATACGACGAACACACTGCCAATTCATGACTGCACATGGGGTAGAATGCTTATTCCCACCTACAGCAGCATTTTATTTACTGAACGAGCCACGGAGCTTTCTGCAAACTCATTGCACAAATCAATGGTCGTTATTAAGGCTACGGGCTTTGATGTGGCCAACTGCTGATTCTGCTGCTGGAGGAAACTCCTGTTGCAGAGCTACGCGCAGCCAACATGGCCTAGAGACAAGTTGGTATTTTGTTTGCAAGCAAGCAATAAGGCTGCTGTACAACTGCTGACAAGGTAGTGCAAAAGGAGGGGGCAAAGATAATCCACACATGCTCCAAGCAGCTCTTCTCTTAAAACTGCTGCAGCATCAAAGCTGTTCTGCAAATAAATGTCAGTTTAATTTCTGTTTTAAATGACGGGTGGGGGGGATAAGTTTTTTTCCACCACAGAATAATGCAGACAATTCTCAAGGACAGATGCTGCAGAACAGCATGGGCTGAGCGCCTAACGCTTCACGCTACGCTCCCAACTTGAGCGTTAACTCCCTGCAGCCCCTGCCCATCCGGACTCTGCGAGTCCTTCCAGACAGGGAGGAATCAATGAGCTGACCACACGGAACGCCGGGGGCCGTGACTGCAGTAAGAGCAAACACCATCTCCCAGGGCTTTGGTTTCACCAGGCAACAAGTGGTCCAAACCCCACACGGACTTTGGGGTCTAAGGGAGCTGTGATAACTAGGGCAAGACGACAAGGTCTCGAGGGGTGTGTGCAGAGAGCTGCCATCATCGACCTTACTGTGCTCAGAAATAGATCTTATGCCTACACGCACTAATTATAATATTATCTAAAATACCTCTCTCATTTGGAAAGTTGGTGTTTTTCATTTATTTTCCTCTAACCTTGCTGTGACTCAAACATAAGTATCTGTCACTGTCAAAAATAAATTACAGCGTGGAAAAGAAAGTGTGCATGGCATTTAAGTCATGAATATCTGAACAGTCGGTGACACAACGCTAAATACAACGGGAACTTTGCCTCCCACCCATGCCCGTTTGAACCACAACGCGTTCCCGTTTGAATGCACAAGCAGTGTGGCACAGAGCCCGAATCACAGCGCTTGCCTGGACCTTTTTTCAAGGTTTCGTAGGGGGAAGGAGGTTTCACCTGACCTGCGGTGAAGCAGATGTAGTGACATGTCCACCCGGTCCAATACGGAACAAGGAAGAGGAACAGGCAGCGGCCACACTTCTCTCCTAGCCAGTGCCAACGGCTCTCGCGCGCTCCTCCTTAGCTAGCACGGCCTCTTTTGCTCAGCTTTATCCAAAATCAGACTATTTACACCCAATGCTCCCATCTTTTGCTAAAGATGCTCCCATCTTTAGCATCTTTTGCTAAATTCTTATCCCTCAGGTCCTGCCTATAAAAGGCTGTTGCACTTAATTCATCCCAAGAACCTGAGAGCCTTTGGAAATCACACAACAGCCCAGAACACACGAGTGAGGTATCGCACAGCCATATCATCAAGAATCAAGAAATAACAAATGTTTCTCCTACAGCCAAATGCAACATCTGGAAAAACTGATTGAGAAGAACTCCCTAAATTAAACCATTTGCTATCAAAACCTTTCCTTTTCACCTAATAAAAACAGATGGCCTAAATTCATTCCTAGTAAGTTCACAGAAGGCCAAATTATGCCAAAAAGCTAACCGAAATAGCCACAGAAAGGGGGCTCTGGAAGCCCCTGGTATAAGGGCACCGCAGCAGCGTCACCCTGGGCTCCAGGCTGCACTCGGAGTCACCTGCATGAAGAGCACGACGCAAACCCTGAGCCAGCAGCTGAGATGGAAACCTCAAAGGAGAAGCCAGAAACAAGCAGATACTCACGTGTTCCTGAACTCCCTCTCCAATTAAAGAAAGAAATTCACTGAGGCAGACCTAACAGGGGAGGAAAGATTAAGCAACACACGGAAAAATAAATAAGTGGAAAAATACTCTAGAAAGAGCATAGGGCGCATTTATCATCAGTGTTTTAAATTAGCACATCAAGTTATCTGCATCCAGTTGTCGTCACGATGCATGCAGCATGTGAAAAATACCCAAGATACCCACAGAAACAGATTACACTGCCATACCCACATCCCATTCAACAACCCATTCCAACATCTGGCAGCTTCTTCTTGGTGTCCCAAAGCAAACCTAATTACTCTGTGCTCTTTGCTCTCGTTATTTCCTATTGACTACTCCAACTTAATCCAGAGTTAAAAGCCTGGATCCGTTGCACATCTTCTGGCTCTTAAGCATTGTGGAACCTCTTCTCTCAGGACGGCCTCTATTTTACCTAC